CCTCCCTCCCTCCTTTCTTCTCTCTCTTTCCTTCTCTCTCCTTACTTCCTTCCTTCTCTCTCTCTCTCTTTCTTTCTCTCTCTCCCTCTCTCCTTCCCTTTCTTCTCTCTCTCTTTCCTTCTCTCTCTCTCCTTCCTTCCTTCCTTCTTTCTCTCTCTCTCTTTCTCTCTCTCCCTCTCTCCTCCCTCCCTCCTTTCTTCTCTCTCTCTTTCCTTCTCTCTCTCTCCTTCCTTCCTTCTTTTTCTCTTTCTTTCTTTCTTTCTCTCTCTCCCTCTCTCTCCTTCCTCCCTCCCTCCTCTCTTTTACCTCTGCCCCCTCCCCACTCTTCTTTTTTGCTTTTTACCGTCTGTCGCCACCAAGGAGAACAAAACGCCGGTCCAAAAGCACTTCATGGATTCAGGATGCTGAACGGGATCCGGGGCGGCGGCGTAGGAGCGAGCTGGTAATCCGCAAAGCGAGTGGATCCTGGAGCAATTCTTGCAGTCGGAGGGGGAGGAAAAAAAAAACTTAGGCTCTGCGGTTCCTTCCTTCTGGCGCTCTGCTTATGTTTGAAATCCAACCCCCCTCCCTCCTTCCTCCAGCTGGCCTGGCTCCACCCCGGGCATCACTTGCGTCCCTCTTTTTAGAGAAGTTTCGGAGAGTGACGCAGCGGCGGTGGAATGAAGGGGACGGGAAGAAGAACGGGGAAGTGATGAAAACTTCACTTCGCGGCCCCGTCAGCTCTCGGTTGCAGGCACACGGCGTTCTTTCCGCTGGAAACCATCCTCGCTTGCAGAAGCGGCTAGTCCTCAGTGCGGTGTTTCCCAACCTTGGCAACTTCTAAAGCAGGTGCCAAAGATTTTTTTTCCCCCTCGGTTTGTTTAACGTGTTTTGCACTGCGGGCGTTAAGAATGCAGGGCTGTCTGTCGGCAACAAACTGGGATTTCTTCATGCTGGTGATGATTGGTTCCCTTGCCTTTATTATTGTTATTATTATTTTTTAGAAATAACTCAAGGTGGCCGACATAACTGATGTTCACTCTTCCTCCTATTGCCCTGCAACAACAACCCTGTGAGATGGGTTGAGCTGGCCCAAATGGATGGAAATGGAACAAGGAGAGATTCAACCTGGAAATAAGGAGAAACTTTTCTAACATTGAGAACAATCAACCAACGGAACAGAAGTTGCCCTTGGAAGTTGTGGGAGCTTCATCACTTGAGACTTTCAAGAAGAGATTGGACTGCCATCTGTCAGAAATGGTGTAGGGTCTCCCGCTTGGACAGGGGGTTGGACTAGATGACCCTTCCAGCTCTGTTAATCTGTATAACCTTTATAAAGTCACCCACCCAGTAAGCTTTCATGCCTAACAGGGGATTAGACCTCACAGTCTCTGCGTTTCTAGCCTTAACCACTAAACCAGGAATCTCCAAACTTAGCAACTTTTAAGACTTGTGAACTGGGGAATTCTGGGAGTTGAAGTCCACAAGCCTTAAACGTTGCCAAGTGAACTGGGGAATTCTGGGAGTTGAAGTCCACAAGCCTTAAAAGTTGCCAAGGTTGGAGACCCCTGATCTAAAGTAATACCTGTATATCTCAGGTCCGTCTCAAGATCTCCCAGAATTCCCCAGCCATGAGTTGAGATCCACAAGTCTTAAAAATTGCCAAGTTTGAAGACTCCTGGTTTAGTTGTTTGAAAGGCCTGGAATGAAACTCATTTCGGGAGATCACAATTGCCTTTAAAAAAAAAAAGGATATTGAAGAGAAGCTTAAATGAAAGATTAGCGTTGGGCACTGGGCAGGGTTCTCTGTGGCCCTCGATATTGCTGTACATTTCAAAGAGATTGTGGAAGAGTGGTTGTCAACATTCACACTTGTGACCTTGTCTAAGGCTGCGCTCACATGATGGGTTGTCGAACTACAAACTCATCAAAAATGCTCTTTTGCAGAGTGCGCAAAACTCAACTGGCCAGCCCATGTCACTAATTTTATGGAAGAGGGGTCCACAAATTGTGTGTGTGTGTGTGTGGTAATTTTTGTGCATTAGAAGGAAAGGAAGAAGGTTGTTTCTCTCCTCATGTGGCAAAATACCTCCCTAGGATTCTGGAGGTGTTGGGTAGGGAATTCTGGGAGTTGAAGTTCACCTATGCTCAGGGGTGGGCTTCAAAAATTTTAGCAAGGGGTTCTCTGCCCAGTTGCTGGGAGGGCGTGACCATGGTTGACGTGGCCTAGTCGGCCTCCTGCACCACCACGGGCGGGGTGTGTGGCATTTTTGCCCTCCCCGGGCTCAGGAGGCTTTTCTTGAGCCTCCGGGAGGGCGAAAATGGCCTCACCAGGCTCCGGAGGCTCTCTTAGAAACCAGAAACAGGCCCATTTCTGGCCTTCCCGAACTTCCAGGAGGCCCAATTTTCACCTCAAAACGGACCTTGTGGGGACTCCTGGGAGGGGCAGGGTGGGCAGGGCCATCCAGGAGTGGGATTTGGGGGTTTTCCGAACTGCACCGAACTCCTGCGAACCCCCAGCAGGCCCAGCCCTGCCTATGCTGAGAAACACTGCTTTAGTATGCCAAAATTTGCATACAACAACCAAGGCCAGCAGGCCCAGGGTTTTATAGAGCATGTGCAAAATGCAGGCTCTCCCTCCTCACCTGAGGTGGAAGAGCTCACCTGCCCTGCACACTTTTAGCTTTGGTGCTAAGCAGTTTCCTTTTTTATTTTGTTGCCTTTATTATTATTATTTTATTATTATTTTAATTTTTTTAAAAACTTTGTTTCGTGATGTTGTCTGCCACCCGGAGCCACGTTGTTTGAGTTCTAAATAAATAACCCTTTTTAACTAATAACGGCATCCTTCTGGCCCACCGTCTTCTTGAGAAAAGGTAAGCTGTCCCAGATTCTAAATCAGGCGTGGCAAAAGAGCCTCTGACTCAGCCTCTTGACATGCCCGGAGGCTAGGAATTCATACTTGAAGGCAGGTGTGTGCAGGAAAGAGGAACGCTCATTTTTTCCCCCCTTTCTTTTCTATTTTATCACATTTTTTGTGTTTTCACTAACTTTTTTTTATTCCTTTCTTTTTCCTCCCATACTTTTTATTAGCTTGTATTCGTGTTTATCTTCCTTTTAAAACGTTTTAATAAAAGTTTATACACACACACACACACACACATATATATGTATACAGTATACGTATAATATATACATATATGTATATATACAAAATACATTTGTAACTGCAGTGAAGAATATCAGAATCTCTTTGAGTCCTTGGATCTGAGCTGTCTGGTGGCCCCTGTGGTGAAGACTCTCGCCTCCCACTCAGAAGGTTGAGAGTTCAGTCCTGGGTAGTGGAAGATGTTTCTCTCTTCTGGAGCACAAAGGAAAAAAAAATATCTACTGTGAACTCCATGTGGTGTCAGGAAGGGCATCCGGCCTGCAAATGTTCAGCTCCATTCAGTCACCCTGGATTACAGGGTTGTAAAAAGGGAGGAATTTTTGAATCTTGGAATCTCTTCTCTATTTTTGTTTTCCTTATTTCTGGGTGGGTTGTGGTTTTTTGTTTTTTGTTTGTACTTTTAGCTTTTTCTTTTTTAATTTTATATTAGTTTCTCTCTCTTTCTCTTTCCCTCCCTCCCTTCCTCACTCTGTGTGTGTGTGTGTTCTCTTGGTAAGATGATCTATTATTTGCACATCCACCTCCAGAAACCTGTGTGTACTTTTGGTATTTTCTAATGCCAAATGATTAATGTACTTCTGGAGGGATGTGACTGACTTATCTCCAGAGCCCTACAGAGATATTTTAGCACTTGAGACCAGAGAAAAGTTGTAAAATGGGGCAAAGTTCCCTTAACAAATGTCTCATTTAGCAGTTGAAATTTTTGGGCTCATTTATGGTCCTAAGTTGAGGACTACCTGTTTATTAAATACACACTGGTTGCCAAGTGCCTGAATTTTGATCATGTGATTGTCGGGATGCTTTCTTTTTATATTTTTAAATTTTATTTATACATACAAACATCACCTTTCATTTGAACAGTGTGTCATTTGGGTATAACTATCTTGTGCAATAACCATTCTAGTTTATACATATTCATTGCTTAGCTTTAATACTCTGTTCTTACTTAATACTAATCTGCATCATATATCTAATTCTTATAACATTCCCCATCTTAACATTTTTAATTCTTACCACGTTTACTATTTTGCGCTAGTCTTCTTTAATTTCTAACTTCCATATTTGTTTTCCAACCATTGATAAAATAAATCCTACATCATATAATATCCAATTTGTTCCTTGTCTTGGGTTGCTAGTGTTAACTTATTCATTTCTGCACAGTCTAATATTTTTCTAATTACATTCTCTTCAGTTGGAATCTCTTCACTTTGGGATGCTATGAGGATTGTGTGCGAGGATTGGTTGCAAGTCACTTTCCCCCCCAATGTCCTAATTGTTAAATGAATGATTGTTAAATTGAAGATTACCTGTAAGTAACCCCAACTATTGTTCAGGAGGGGTTCAACATTTACTTATTTATCCAGCATTTTGCAAAAGCTGTTGTTGGAAGGAGTAGAGGAGGGTTATATATATATATTTTATACAAGTCCAGAAAGAACCTTTTGGTTTAAATCTTAGCACCTGTGGTTAGATTTTAGCATTAGCTAAAAGGAAGCCCTTAGTCAACCGTGATTCAAACTCCATTGGCTTGAAAACGGGGGAAGTGATCTAAGCATTTTTCATATATTGCTGTATTTGCAAAGCACACGAACACACACACACACACACACACACACACACACACACACACACATCTATCCATTATCTTATAAAATGCAAGACTGGATAACGGAATGGAGACAAACATTTTCATTTCTTCTACGTCAATATTTCATATTTATTTGTTTTTAGCATGCAATGCTTTTTTTAAAAAAAAAATCATTCCAGTGATTTTTCTCATGAGGTTTATGAAGTCTCTTATTATTAAAAATAACAATGGGAGGGGGGAAAGACAACCCCACTAGACGTTGCATGAAAAAAACAGTAAAACCACTGAACGTTATGCAGCCCTGGAGTCTGCCATGGGATTCTCGTAGTAGAAACTAAAGTGCCCTCCAAGGAAAATATTTATGCAGGGAGCAAAATGGAAAAAGTTGACTTTCGCAAGACTTTCTTTCTAGGCTCAAAGATTTCTTTTTGCAGTTCGAGATGCCCATTTGTGGCCAGGACCAAAGGCTTAGAGTGGGAATGTGTGAAGTCAGCTGCCTGATGGGGTCCAGATGCTCACCAACCCTGACCGGAAGATCCAGTGGAAAAGAATTAAGAGGATTGCACTCCTAAGTGTAAGGATGTCCCTGGATTCCCTGAATCTCTTGTAAAAGTTAATGATGGATTTTTAAGCTTCTTGATATAAAGCAGCATTATTTTAAACGATAAGAGGAAGGAAACAGAGACAGACAGTAAAAGACTCTGTCTCTCTGTGTTTTTGTGTATGTGTGTGTGTAAGAGAGAGAGAGAGAGAAAAAGACAGAGACAGAAATACTTTGTCTCTTTCTGT